GCAGAGGTGATATTCTGCCAGTTCGACCTGGTTTGGGCAAACCAGTAGCAGCCCTGCCTACCCGCCCAGAGGCCATCACAGATGCTCTGCGCATACGCAGAAGCGCCACATGCGAGCGAAGCTAACGCATGGGGCGGGGGGGGGTGCTTCCAGTTCCGAACTGGTAGTGAAGTGCCTGAGCTATAGGCAAAGCGAGGGGGTTAAATATGGAAGAAGGTGGCAATGATAAACCACTTCTGTATTATGAGATTGTATGGATTAACAGTGGAAAGACTCAAGGTCCAAGTCNAGATAACTAACAATCTGAATTGGTCTCTCCACACATCATCCTTAGTGAAGCCTGCAGATCAGCATCTGCATTTCCTGCATCGGGTGAAGAGAGCATGTCTTTCTCCTTCTGTCCCGGCCTCTTTTTACAGAGGCACAACTGAGCATGTTTTTAACAAACTGCATCCCTGTTTGGTTTGATGGCAGCAGTGCCTCAGATAGAAAGTCCATTCAGGTCAGGATAGCTGAGAAGATTATAGGAAGCTCATTTCCTATTATTCAGGAAACTGCTTATAAGAACGATGTGCTTTATGAACTGTTTATGAACTGTTTCTGTTGCTCCTCTCTGGGAGGAAGTTTCCAAGTATTTCTAGCCGGACTAGCAGACTCTGTAATAGCTTTGTGGCCATCCATCTGGTACATTCACAAGATTCATTTTTCTTGCCATGCACATGTATACATCCGAACGAGACCCTGTTGTTATTCTGTGTCACACAATATGTGTGGGTATATGCATAATTTTGTATTTATTTATCTGTTTATTTTGTCATGCTTATGTCGTGTATATTGGAGGTGGTGACCCTGTTCTGACCGAGGCTTCCCTACACAATGAAGCAAACACCTTGTCTGGACAAAAAAAAGCAGCCCTTTTATTAATTTACTGTGAATTCTGCTCATTCACATCCAGCAAAGTCTTTCAAGGGAGGCTTTCCAGTCACCGTCCTTATCTGTCTTGGAGAGCTGCCAGGCCAATATCGGCAAAAAAACTGGCAAGGAGTCTTGGAGAGTCACGAACCAGTTAAGTGAACTAATTGTCTCCTACAAACTCCCCTTTAGCTTCTCTGGGAGGAGCCATTCATCGTCCACCTGTGCCCTTACTTCCAAGCTGACCCCTGCTCTTTAGCTCTTCCCTTCACACTGAGAACGTGCTCCAGCTGCTTGTCTGCCTCACTGATGTCTGACTCTGAAGGCAGCTGATAACTGTCATACGGCTCTGGCCCCCTCTCTGCCTCTGACACAGAGCCCTCATCAGGGCCTTCCCCAGACTCCAGGACTGGCCCAGGTTCCTCCCCAATCTTTTCACTGTCCAAATCTACTGCCAACTCCACTGGCTGCTGATGGGCCACAACAGACCCTTTAAGAGCTGTATACAATGAAATTTCATACACAAATGTATGCCGATTTGTGTACATTCAAAGTGACAATAAGGTTATTCTAAGTCTAAGTCTAACCACACATTTTTTCTTTATTATACCATGTCTTTTTTCTCTTTTAATTTTTGTTTTTAACTACGTAGGCTACCCAGAGTCATTTCAGAGTTGAACAGTCCTCTAAATCAAAGAAACAGATAAATAATAATGAATTATCCAATCGGTGTTATGCTTCACAAAGTGGAATGAAAAAAAGATCATTTCAATTCCTCCATCCCAAACCCGAAACAAAATAAATTGCTAATGCTTTCCTCCATACTTTTCAGTGCGTGCACATGTGTGCATTTATTCTGATAGATGGAATAAAGTCTGAGTGCATTCTGTGAAGTGAAACTATTATTATAAAAAATGCAGAATAAAAGTAATACAAATCTTCCATAGGTTTTCTGGTTGCCTTGCCACCATTTCTCTGATGCATTAAAAAACCCCTGTGAAAAGTGAAGTCAAAAGGATTGGATGATGATTTTACCATCACGTGTTTTACTCAATACCTTTTTCATATTTTCATATTTGTATTTTCTTCAGAAAATATACAAATAAAAACTAACAAAAGCTAACAAATAAGAAGAAAGATAAACAAGAGGGGGAGGGAGAAGGCCAAAAAAACTCCATGAAAGAAAAACAAAAAATAAATAAAAATGATTTCCAACGTCTTCCGTTGATATAAAAAGCATTTAAAATTCAACCCTTAGTTTACCTCTATGTAGCTAATCCTTGACTTACAACCACAATTGAGTCCAAAATTTCTGTTACTAAATGAGACTTTTGTTAAGTAAGTTTTGCCCCATTTTACAACCTTTCTTGCCACTGTTGTTAAATGAATTGCTGCAGATGTTAAGTTAGTAAAATGATTGTTAAGTGAATCAGCTTACCCATTGACTATGATGGTCAGAAGGTCACAAACAATGATTACATGACTGTGGGACACTGCAACCATCATAAATATCAGTTGCCAAGCATCTAAATTTTGATCACATGACCATGGGAATGCTACAATGGTCATGAATGGCACTTTCTCAGTGCCGTTGTAATTTCAAACAGTCACAAAATGGACTGTTGTAGAGTGTAATGTCCGTTGTCTTAAAAATTTAGTAAGTTTTAACAATAATTAACTTCCTTTATCGAAGCTTGATTCCGCCTCCCCCCCCCATTTCCTTCAAAAAATCCATAAAACTGTCCAATGAAAAAACATGGCCACGATGATGCTTCCAATTAACAGGAGTAGGAGCAGGACTGGGAGAGGAACTAGCTTCACTCCCCCAAACAGGTGATAATGTCAGATTAGTTTTGAATGGAATTGATTTCAAAGTGATGAAAAGCAGAAGCAAAGTAAGATTTATTTATTATGGCTTTATATAGGAAGATATATGAGAGATAGATAGATGATAGACAGATTATAGATGATAGCAATAGCAGTACCAATAGCAGTTAGACTTATATACCGCTTCATAGGGCTTTCAGCCCTCTCTAAGTGGTTTACAGAGTCAGCATATTGCCCCCAATATGGGTCCTCATTTTACCCACCTCGGAAGGATGGAAGGCTGAGTCAACCCTGAGCCGGTGAGATTTGAACNGGCTGGTTGCCCCCGGGGGGGAGGGCCTTTTCTGTAGCTGCTCCGACCCTATGGAATGATCTACCCCCAGAGATCCGGACCCTGCCCACTCTCATGGCCTTCCAAAAGACTATCAAAACCTGGCTATTCCGGCAGGCCTGGGGCTGTTGACCTCATGACTGAGGTCCAGCCCCGACCAGATTGAGTGCATGATGTGGTTTTTAATCTGTTTCTCTTTGTCTTTTTTAATTTTTTAAAATGTATTTTCTGTAAGCCGCCCGGAGCCCTTCGGGATTGGGCGGCCTATAAATTTATTAAATACTACTACTAATACTACTAATAATTAAGACTGATGGGGTGGAATTACCAGCAGTCCACATAGCAGACTTATAGACCATCTTCAAATACCTTGGTGCCCCAAAATTTGTTAGTATCCCTCAAATACCAAGAAATCACTAATACTTTGGGAACCATGATGAGAAGGGCAGGAAGTTAGCAATATCCAAGTAGCAACAAAGGATACGCATGTCATGAAGAGTCAGCACAATGGGGGCAACCAGTTCCATATCAATCATCAGATTCCCTGTGAGTATAGCGAACTGGCCAAAGGAGAACATAGAGGCTGCTGATGGGAAAATCCAGAGGTTCCTCACAATGTACAGAGTATCCATCCCAAGTCCAATACTCAGAAACTGTACATCAGCCAGAAAGAACGTGGGCAGGATCTTGTGAGTGCCAAAGCCACCATCCTGGATGGAACCCAGAGCATCTGGAATGACTTGGTAAGATGGCACCAAAAGAGCTGAAAAAAATGCCCGAGGTAGCACCAGCTATGGGTGAAAGATCAAGCAAGGGAAGTGCCATGAAAATGCACGGGATGGCTGGCATTGGAAATCCTACCAGTGGCTGGAAAGGGCTAGGTTGAGCACTGAACATAGCAGCAGAAGAACTAGCACCAACCGATAGAAGCTTGCCATGTAAAATAGGATTTAGTTTTTATTTATTTGGATACTCACTGCAATCAAATCTTTCCACAGCTTAGATCCAGTAAATTATCCAGCGCATTAAAATGACATACAATAAATCTGGAAAAATATGTGTGAATTATCAATTAGAACCTGTGAGCTGCATAACTGAGGGGTCCCAAGCAGGGTCTTCTAGGACACCTACTGTAGGTCAGGTAGACTGAGATGGACTGAAGAAGGTTATCCCAGAATACCTAAGTCATCTAGGATTTTGAAGGTCAAAGCTGTCATTTGAATTGTACTTGGAAGCCAATAGAAAGCTAATACAAGGTTCAAAACACAGTTGTAATGTGTTCCTGTCAGCAAGTATTTTTCAACAGCCACAATATTGTATTTTGGACTAGCTCAATTTTTCCCCCAGGTAGAGTGGATTCCAGATGTAATTACAGGACTGTCTTTCCCACTTGAAATCAACTTGTCTACTCGGTTGATGATTCCTCAGTGAAGTATGGGAATCTGAGGCCTAAACACAGTTTCTCAGGCATAAAATAATTAGAGTAGTGGCCCTGTTTTATTGGGGTACCTCATCCCTCCAATAATTGTATTAATTTGCTTCTTCAACGATAGATGTCCATTGGCTAAAGCAGATCTTTTGTGTAGTGTAGCTTTGAAATTATTATAATGGTGTTTAGTTTATGGTTCTATTTTTGAACTTTACATTATTAGCTTTTTATTGCTAAGGAGACACATAATTATATATGTGTGGTTATATTACTGTCATCTTTTGAAAACTGTAATGTATTACCATGAAATCAATCAATCAATAGCATGGGGACCACATCTGCTTTCTTTTACTCAGAATTTTGGTGAAGCAAAATAGTTCTTACACTAGAGATTACTGAAACATAGCATATTTTTTTTAGAAAAAATAATAAATTCATTTTTATAATTGAGACAGAGCAAAATGCTCTGTGAATCAGCCATGATAACATTGCAGTATTTACCTGTCCTGCCTTTGCATTCTCACAAACAAAAGTTTCATATAATTTGGCAAACTCTGGGGCATGATCGTTTATGTCCAAAATCCGAATGAAGATGGGAGTCTGAGTACTTTGCTTTGGATTGCCTGAAACAAAACGGACAAGATGGAATTTGATCACAATATTGCATCACTTTTTCCCACCCTGAAATTCAAGAATAAATAACAGTGCCTATGTTGGAAGCATGACACAACTCAAAATTTGTTTTAGAAATGTCATTCTGAAATAATACAATAGCAAAATGAAAAACAAACCAACAATGTATTCCAAGAATTGGGAGTACTTTCATTGCCATCTACTGAGGGATACAGAGGAGTAAATAATGAAATATGAAATATGCCTCTTGACACAAACTTCATTTTTCTTAAATCATGAGTTTCATGCAAGTAGGGAGGGGGCAGATATCATAATGTTGCTCTGTCATTTGCTACAGTCGCCATTAGGGACTTAAAGATATTTCTTTGGCAGAAGGAGACAGTATATACAGATCCAGTTCAATCCCATATATCTCAATTCAGATATTTCTGATTTCAACTGAACGTCTTACCAAATAAAATAAAATAGTGTACGTAGGACTAAAAATAATAAAACTTTTGTTTTGGCTGTGAAGGGCTCTGTGCAATTAAGGTATTCTTACAGTTATCCTACCAAAACTGTTTTGATTGTAGCAATATATAAATTTAATAGATGAATAAAAAGCAAGATTAACATTTCATATTGAGGCTGAAACCCAACACACTTTCCAATTGCCTACCTAGGGCTTCCTTCCAAATAAATGTGTACAGGGGCCTGACTTTGTCATCACTTTTTAGAAACTTTTTCTAATTCCAGCAGTCCACATTTTTTACTCTCATTAGAGTATTAGAGGGACAGACTATTAACTTTCATGCAAAATTGCAAGAGAAGATCTAATGCTCAGCACAGCAGATGCACTTGGCAAGAAAAAGATCACTTTCCCAAAAGTGCTTTTTCAGGAGCCAATTGGACTTTCTTCTTTTTTCTTTGAAGATGTTTCACTTCTCATCCAAGAAGCTTCTTCAGCTCTGACAGGATAGTGGGGAATCGAATCCTTCCATGACCTGGAGGACTGAGAATCTCAAGGTTTCAAGGTTTATTGGCATTTGTATGCCGCCCACTCCCTAGGGACTCTGGGCGGCTTACAGATAAAACAAGGGACATATATAAAAAATTAAAAATAAGAATACAGTTAATTAAAAAATTCCACATCATGCATACTGCTTAGAGTGGGGCTGGATACTCATCAACAGCCCCAGGCCTGCCGGAACAACCAGGTCTTAGTAGCCTTACAGAAGGCCGAAAGAGTAGTGAGGGTCCAGATCTCAACGGGGAGATCATTCCATAGGGCCGGGGCAGCAACAGAGAAGGCCCTCNTAAAAGGTGTGCTTGTGTGAGAGGTAAGACAATGAGGCAGACAAACAGACAGACACACACAAACACACACACAGACACACAGAGACACACACACAGACACACACACACACACACACACACACACAGAGGGAGGGAGGGAGGGAGGGAGCGAGGGAGCGAGGGAGAGAGAAAGAGAGAGAGAGAGAGAGAGAGAGAGAAAGAGATTTTAAAGCAAATCTTAGAGAACATAATGTAGGCATTTACAATCTTCTCCAAAATCCCAGAGGAGCATGATCTGTATACGAATCAGATGTATCATTTCAATATACAAAAGCACTTTCTAAATCAATCCTGCATGCAAATATTAAGTTATCACCTGAGAAAAGAGAACTATACTAATGTATATATTACACAGAGGAGAGGAAAAGTAGCAATAACCATTTTCAAACTGTAATGGCACAATCCAACTTATCAATTTATTATACTGTTGTCCTTGTTGTATGTGAACAATTCCTTCCTAGATCATTGTTAAGAAGAGAGACAACATGTTTATCCACCTAGTTCTACCCTTCTCCCCATTATCTTTTTCATTATTTTTATGCAGATGCAAAAATTAACCATGGGAAAGCCAAGATTGCTATTACTCAAACTTCTCTGACTTTGTTCCCCCCAAACATCATTATACATAAAACGGTTGTACATCTTTAAGTGAACTGGCTCAGAACTGGGTTATGTGGGAGCTGAATACTTTGTTTTGGTCTTTTGTGGCACATTAGCTATTCCAAAATATCCTGCAACTCATACAATTTAATTCATCCATCAGCTGTAGCTTCACATTCCCCATGCTCATGTAAACTATTTGCAAATTATGGTAGAGGACCAGGTTGATAAATCAGCTGCTCTCCTGTAGTTCATGGAAAGTTTTCAGTTTGGCTTATCTTACAGATTATTTCCACAGCCAGTTAAACAGGCTGATAAGGCTGGCATTTGCTGAAGTCTCAAAATTGACAAACTATTGTTCCAGAAAAAGCACCATGAAAAAAAAAATCAGTTTGCTTACCTGCATCCCCAAGCTAAGAAGAAACACTTAACAATTTTCTGCCCAACAATTTCTTGAAATTAACAGTCAACATTCCAGCTGCACGTGCAATGTATAATATTTGAATAAATCATTCAAAACAAAAGGTGCAAAATTTTGTAAAAAACTCATTAAAGCTGTCAGTTCCTATACATCATTGGAACAATGCAAAACTCAGATAACCAGAACAAAGCAAGTCATATTCTAACCTGTGTCTGGATCCACTGAGAAATATGGTTGACCCTGGAGGATGCTATATACAATTTTGGCACTGTTGCCATAGTTCGAGTCATCAGCATCAGTCGCTGTTATTTGAATGACAGAAGTGCCTGAATAACAACGAGAAGAGGGGGGGGGGATTAAAGGAAAAAAGTTGTGTTGGTATAAAGCTATTGGAGGAATGACATTATTTATACTTTAATATAAATAAGTAAATGGATCCTCTGTCTGTCTCTCCATCCATCCATCCATCCATCTATCTACCAGATAGATGCTTTTGATTCAGAGTGTATTCAAGATCTAGTTGAGGGTCCAATAGCAATTATGGTATGTTGTAACACAAAAAAACAATTTGGAAGGAGTTGATACAGAGCCTATATCTGAATCAAGATCACGTGCTGGACTGAAGAGTTCTAAAGTTCTAATTGCAGTTGTTTTCCTTCAATATTAAGCATCTGCTTTAAGTAAGAATCTGTTTTTTAAAAATGTGGCTAATAAAATATATAATTTATGTGGCAACAGGTTGCAATATATTTTTAACAATTTCTTTGAAACTATTTGGGTAAGTAACATTTAATTATTTATGGAAATCATGATGACAAAATGGGAAATGGACACGAGCTATAACAATAGCAATAGCACTTAGACTTATATATACCTCTTCCTAGTGCTTTACAGCCCTCTCTAAGCAGTTTACAGAGTCAGCATATCGCCCCAACAATCTGGGTCCTCATTTTACCCACCTCGGAAGGATGGAAGGCTGAGTCAACCTTGAGCCAGTAAGATTAGAACCGCTGAACTGCAGATAACAGTCAGCTGAAGTGGCCTGTAGCACTGCACTCTAACCACTGTGCTATCTCAGCTCTATGACATTGTTTAAAAAAGTGAATTTATTTACACATGTTTTTGGAAAGACATTTCCAAACCACTAGATGGCCTTAAAAAAGTTCTGTAATTAGCTTGGTTACAACAAAGAAACTTTGCAATATAAGGTTAAAAATATAACATAGAACAATTCTCTCAATTTCATACAAAGCAGATTGGAGATCTTTATTTCAATAAAGGACAACATTTTCCCCATTGCTGAAAACAGCAAGTTAGTTTAAAGGTTGTAGACAGGTTGTGTGATATCTACAACCATCCAGAAGAGATTGCAGTAAAAATGGCCAAAAGTGTATAGCAATGTTTGCAGGCACTAAACTTAGAGACAATTCACTTTTAAAGATGCTGACAATTATACACTCCTATTTATTGGGCAAATAGGAGGAATTCTTGGGCAAAATTCCTAACAGTTGGAATATGGGCTTAGTTATGACTGTCTGCATTTTCAGGAAAATCATCAATATTGTCATCAACTGCCAGTAGTTGTTATCTATAAATATTTAGGTATGTGTGTTTTGTGTGTGTGTGTGTGTGTGTGTGTGTGTGTGTGTGTGTAATGTTTTCGTAGATTTTCATGGGTACAGATATGCAGGTTTTGGTGTATCTGGGTCTTTTCCCATCTAAGATTGAGAGTATCTTGGCGATGTTTCGATGAGGTCCCACTCATCATACTCAGGCTGGTGTCTTCGGCCTTGTGCCTGTGTGAGCAAAGCATGATCGGAGCCGCCATCCCTCTATAAATACTGGTGGGAGTGTGTGGAGTGCTGGCTCTGTTGCTGCAAGCAGATTGATTGGCTGTGTTTTAACATCTTGATTAGTTGATGGAGTTGATGTTTGCAGATTAGTCAGATATTTCATAACATGAAATAGCTGACTAATCTGCAAACATGAATGTGGCTGAGGTGCTGGCTGTGTGCCTATTGTTCTTTTTTGTTGTAACAACCTGGGTAATGGGCTGTGTGAAGGAGGTTGCATCACAGGACTCAGGATATCCCTGCAATAGAGGTCAGGAGGTCATCACACATTCGGGTCTTTTCCTGTGTAAGATTAAGATTGTCTTGGCAACATTTCGGCGAGGTCCCACTCGCCATCTTCAGGCTGGTGTTTTCGCCTTTGTGCTTGTGCGAGTAAGGCGTGGTCGGAGTTGTCGTCTTTCTATAAATCTTGATGAGGGTGTGTGGAATGCTGGCTTTGCTGCTATAAGTGGGTTGATTGGCTGTGTAGTTGCATCCATCTACCAATCAGGATGCAACTACACAGCCAATCAATCCACTTACAGCAACAAAGCTAGCACTCCACATCCCCCCAGCAAGATTTATAGAAAGATGGAAGCTCTGACCACGCCTTACTCGCACAAGCACGAAGCCAAAAACACCAGCCTGAAGATGGCGAGGAGGACCTCGCTGAATCGTTGCCAAGACAATCTCAATCTTACATGGGAAAAGATCCGAATACAACAAGACCAACATACCTGTGAAAAAATCTACAGAGGCAATATATATATATTGTCACCCTAGAGATGGAATGAGAGGGTACAACTGAAAGTTATTTTGCATTCCACAAGAACAATGCAAAAAAAACCCCAATTAAACATTAATAGAAGCAACTAATAAAAACAACAGGAATTAAACCAATCTTATATTAAAAGTCATTCAAAGCCAAGTGAAGCAAAGAAATGTGTTTTGCTGCTTGCCTAAATATCATTATGGATGAAGCCACTTTAAAGTCCCTTGAGAGAGAATGGCATAATTGAGTTTTAGCTTCAGAAAAGAACAAAACCACTGACCTAAAGTGGAGGATCCCAAAAGAGTTGAGATATGTAATTAAAAGACACTTCCCCCCATAACAACAAAATGGACCTCTGGATGTATTTAGTATGAATTATTGTCATTTTCTTATAAGAACATTAGTAATATTTTAGTATTTTTTTAAAAATGCTGTTCAGATAAATTCCAAACCTCTTATTTCTGTGGGGGTAGCTTAAGAAGAACAAATCCCAATATCACACACTATTTAGTAAACAACTGACTTTATTTTAAGTGTAATTCTTCTGATGTTTCTATGGCTTGAGTAATTAGAGTATGAAATTAGGATTCTGGAACTGATGGCAGACAGAAGTGCCTAACGTTATGGGTTGCCCATTTTTTTAAGCCAAAGGGCCCCACTTCAAGTTGTCTTGTTTCCCAAGAAATATTATTACTGCACCTTTCTTCTGAATTTGAATGTTTATGGTTGAACGAAGAGGCATTAATTAGAGTTGCTTAAAGTACAAAAATAGTTTTCATCTGGTACATTAAAACTGAAACCGTCGGAGACAGTTATACAAAACAACAAGAATCTGGAGTAAATTATTATACATTTGACTAATTTACATAAAACACATAAATGGTATTGGATATTACTACTGTACATGCAAAACTTTTATATGTTAGGCATAATTGTAAATAATAAACAAAGGTTGTGAAGTATAAATCTGTTTTTAGAAAATGTGGCTAATAAAAGACATAATTTATGTGGCAATATGTTGCAATATATTTTCAACATATACTAGCACACATTAAAAGTGACATTTCTGATGCCTACACACACACACTAACTAGCTATGGTCCATTTTGAATACAAAGCATAAAAAGGAGTCTTGATTTTTAACAAAGTTGATACTATATGGTACAAAGCTATTACAAAATTGAGGTGTCTTGCTTTGGACACTACAAAGTCTCTTCCAAGAAGGTAACAAACAACACCAGCCATGGAAAGGATGTGTAGTGTTTCTGACAATACCATGGACCCTGGTGAAGCTATGTCTGGGATAAAAGAGAGTGAACCTCCCAATAATCTTTTATACCGTCCTCACTACTCTCTACACAGCCTTCCTGTCTGAAACAGTAGAACTTCCAAATCACACAGTAACACAACATGACAGGATGCTTTCCATAGTCCTTCTACAGAAGGAGATGATGAGATAATGAGGGGAAGGAAGATGTGCTCTTCTAATATAAATTATTACCACAATTAACCCTCTTAATTTTTTCTACCAACATTTATTGCATACTTGGTGGCTAACACTTTAAAATGTGAATAGTCTGCAGTGAAAAACAATTTATTTGAAGTGGTATGGAAGTGGTCTGGTATCAGAACTCTCAGTAATACCAATTTTTAATAGCTCAATCACATATGCAAGTTACCCTATAACACAACACCTATTAAATAGCAATCATGTGCATATAAGCCTAACATTATTCAGTAATGCATGATGGTTTGTATCCACAGATACTACTGTGGATCAAAAACCAATCAGATGAATCCACATACTCTTTTTTTTTTGTTTCAAGCTCCGGTGATCTTATATACAAGTTGGTGTAGTGATTAAAACGTCCGGCTAGAGACAAGAGTTCTACTTCCACCTTAGACAAAAGTCAACAAGGTCCTTGGGCTCTTCACTATGACTCAACCGCAGGAAAGAGAAGATGACAAACCACTTTTGAAATCTTAGCAAAAAAAAGTGCAGGTAAAGTCTAGAACCCATGATAGGAAACCTATGGCACATGTGTCCCAGGTGGCATGCAAAGCCCTCTCTGTGGGCACACGAGCCATTGCCCCAGCTCAGCTCCACTGTGCATGTGTGTACACCTCCTGCTGGCAAGCTGGTTTTTGGGTCTCTGCTGTGCATGTGTGGGTGGCAAGGCTCATGCAGGAGATGCACACGCATGGGCAGGGGGCATGCATGGGTCACATGTGGGGGGTTCGCACATGCATGTAGGGGTAACACACATGCACAGGGAGTTGCATGCATGCATGGAAGTTGTGCATGCATGTGTGTGGGCGGGACACAGAGGGAGT